TCCTTTCATATTTCTAGAGGAAATATGAGAAGAACTTGGTTAAAACAAAACATGTCAAGGGTAGAGGATGTGGACTCTAAAATAATAAGTCTGAGTCAAAGAGAGACTATAGAGGGAAAAAAATAATGTCTAGTGCTAGAAGGTAGAATAGAAATGGGCTTAGGAATATGCCCCCTCGGTTTGCTCTTCCTTCTGATACACTGAAAATAGCCCTCTCCCTGCAATTTGAAGATACTTTCTTAAGACACTTTTGTCAGGAAGCTTTGAAGTAAATAGAGATGTGAACTGGCTCTGGGAGAAATACAAATGATCAATAAAATTGTGAAATGATTCCCAACCTAACTAATAATCCATGGGATATGAATTAAAATAGCCATTCAATAACTTGGGTGTTGGTCAGAAGATAATAATTTTAAAGTGCATTGTATTTGATTTGTTATTTTAAACCAACAAATAGCTGTCTCTTTACATTCTATGACATAAATGATTCAGATTCCTTACATCCAAAAATCCTTAAAAATAAAATCACACCAATAAAAACACCACTGTATCACTAAACTCGAGGTACTGTTTTGGTCTGATGTAAAGTTACCTGAGGATCTATTTCTTATCTTATAATGATTTTAAAGAAAATCTATTATTCAGTAGAGTTAGTATTTTTCATAAAAGTATTATGAAGTAGATGATGGTTCACAATTTTATGCTTAAGAAAAATGTTTCCAATATGCAATGTAATTTGGAAAATGATAGCAGGTGGAAAAAAAAAAAATCTCGAATTTATCTTTTTACTCTGCGTACTTTTCCATGCTTGTTTCTTTGTTCACTTGTAAAATACTAGCTGCCTCTAGGTGAAATTCAACAGCTTTTGAATAGTAATAACCAAATCAACTTAGAACTTAGCTTGAGTTATGAAAGGTACATGTAGTTGGCTTTGAGGAGGAAAGACTCATATAAACAAAACACAGTGAGACCCCCGGAAATTAGGCCAAAGCAATAGGAACAACCTGAAATCACAGCATGACACTGAGTGCAATGAATAGATGAAAAGGAGCTTGAGGCTTAAAAATAATCTTTCATAGTTTCCCTGCTTTCATGTTGTTGTTTTGGTTCATTACTTGGAAAATAAAGATATAAAGGCCTAGAGAGTTAGATCATAATTAGAAAAGGGTCACTGGCTTGCAGGGACATTTGTTAGGAGAAAGAAATATTTTTCTCACAATAATCCCATAATTTAGTTCAGATGCTCCACATCCAAATTGGATAGATGTTGTCAGAAATTAGGCAGTTTGTAAGTCAGAATCTATCCACCTGGCACTAGGCAATCAAAACAAGCATTACCCTGTGATCTACAATTTAGACACCAAACATGGTTAAGTGTCCTAAAAGATATATGATACTGTGACCTGAAAATTCCAGGGAAGCACATTGGTAGCTGATGTAGATCTTAGATTCAGGTTTAGAATCACATAGTTCATAAGAGACTGGTTATAAGTTTTATGGCTAAACATTGTCTTTAGCATGGATATTTCTCTTTAAATTTTGTTTGAATAAAATATTATCTTAAATTTTTATATTATATAATCTTAAAAAAATAAAATTTTAAAACTGAAAATGAAAGTCCAGAAATTATCCTTAGCATGAATACAATGTTCAGATATTCACGGGATTGGAAAAAATTCACTCTAAGTTGTATTCTGTCAAGCAAATGTTGGGGGCCTAAAACAATCATTTTCAAAGTAGTTTTATAACTATTTAGGTTTTAATTATATTTAACTATGGCCTCAAAATAAGAGTGACAGGAAAAGAGATGAAAATAAAATAAATGCCCACTATTTGTCATATATAGTGCCAAACACTTTAAAAATACTAGTTGATTTCATTCTTCAAGAAAAACCTGCACATCTTCCTTATCTTCATTTGAGAAATGAGAAAAAATATTTTTGAGCAAGTAAGTAGCCCAAGGTCATAATTCCAGAGTGTACATTCTTTGCAGTGGGACATGAAAGGTGACATGGAAAATCTGCTTTTCACTATTCTCTGTGTCAAATCATTTTGTTTTTGACTTGAAGTATGCCTTACTTAGACAAGGCCAGTCTTTAATAACCGGAAATGCATTTTCTATTTTGTCTTTTTCAAAATCTTGTTTGAAAATTTCTTTAGAAAGTATGCCCGATTATATTAATGGAAAAAATTAAAAAAGAAAAAACAAAGGCAAAACAAATTCACAAATTATCCGTGTACTTGGAATTATGTATCATGGGTGTTATAAATTATGTGTTATTTAGTACAATGAATTGTAATACTGTCTGAATTAATTCACAGCATCAGGACAGGGACCATGAATTAGTATAATTATTTCCCATGGATTGTTTCCCATTCATACCCTCTACACTGTATACACTGAGAAAATAATGGTGAAGTCATAAAATATTAAAACATTTGCCTGACTTGAAGTGCACGCAGAAGCTACTTATTAGAATTGTGCATTTTAAAGTTTATTTAAATGCCCACCTGTAGCGAAACACCCCCTTTGTAAAATGTATTATTGCCTAAACCTCTTGAGTGTTCAGATGACTATAAAAATACATGCAGACATCACACTGGGGAAAACACTATTATGGAGTATAGATCCAGGGAAGATAAAAATGAAGAGGAAGAAGGGAAAAGGCAAGAAGCAGCAGAAACAGCAGCAAAAAACATTCAAATCTGTGAAATTTTATTTAAAGCCAAGTACAGTGACAGTTGGTGATTGCAAGAAAACTGACATTTTACTTTCAATAAAGACAACATTTTACCATGGAAAACTCCTCAGTTTTAACTCTACTCTGAGGGTAAAATAGAAGAAAGAAACTTTGGTTTAAATCTAGATTTGGTACTTACTTGCTGTGTGACTTTCCTTAGGTTACGTAACCTTCCTGAGCTGCAGGTTCGTTGGTCTGATTTTCCCCATTTAAATTGAAGAGAATATAGGCTGCCTCACAGATGTTCTGGCACAACTAAATAAGAGAACATATGTAAAACACCTAGCAAATCCATGGACGTCAATAAATATTTCTTCCAATGAAAGTTTTAAATAGATGTCTGGTTCAGGCAGAAATTACTCTAGTTTGTCTTCTTAGAAAACATGGACCACAGTTTTTTGTTTACTGTTAGTATTTTTTAAACACTAGAACAGTTCTTCCCTGCGTATTTTCAAACCAGGATCAGACTTTCTTGCAAATTCGTTGAGGAAAAAACACAAATGAAAATACATTTAAATGTGTGTCAGCCAACTTTTTAACTCTATCGGTGTGAACATAGTCTACACTGTTATATCCTTTCTCCTAACTCTATTTATCTAATTGAAATAAGATTTTGGGCTCTTCTCTTTTGAGCAAAATGAGAGTATTGGATCAAGCTCTCTGATTAAAAAAAATATGTATTTCTGAGAGTGTATCTGATCCATTTCCAAGTGTTCTAAGAAACTTATCTGGAGAAAGAAAGGCTTCCTAGTTCTCAGTCCCATCAGGATCCCAAAGATCCACATAATTCTTGAAGACTCATATTAATGGTTTTCTTAATGTCTGATGCAGCAAGATACTAAGTATTCCCTAAACATTCCCACACCAGTCAGGCTTCGGAGCATTGCATTGAGCGGGTCAGGGGTAGTATGCCAAAATCAATGACTTCCAAATTCAAGCAGAAAATTATTATTAACTGACATAGCCACTTTAGTAATTAAATTGTTGGAGCCTTATGACATTTAATTTTGGCATTCCGATGAGATAGAACAAACTTGACACATCTCCTTTCATTTCTAATTTGATAAGAAGGTAGACTAAGACATATTTTCTAAAAAACAAATTATTAGAGTAGCTTTGAATTTTAAAATAATCTCACTGTATTAAAATTTTCCTGCATTAATTATTAACTGATAAGTGCTTGTATGAAATCATAAAAATATATTTTAAAGATGATTGGTCTATTTTATTTCCTTTTAATTGTGCAAATTATTCAGGCTTTCCTGGATGGCTGTGACTTAATATTTCAAAATGGCACAACACAGCATGATTATTTATCTAAGAGTTTCAAGTAGTCATTGACATTCAATCCAACACCCTGAATTTGGGAGCACTTCCATATAAGTTGCATAAAAAATAAGATTATCCTTGAACCTCATCCTGGGGACTTAATTAGAAACTTAGGTACAATTATAGTTAAAAAAAAACTGTCACCCCAAAATCAAAACAAAGTAAACTACTGTACTAAAGTTAACTTGTAGAATTAGCTAATTAATACATTAAACATTATCTGTAAATAGTGCAAAAAAAAGCATGGAAATAAATATTCTAACAGCTGGACTCTTTAGCGGAACTTTAGTAGAATAGGGACAATGTCAGAAAGACGCTAGCATTAGAGAAATGTCTCTGGGTCTTTGGCTAGGTTCACAAAGAATTTGATATTAGAGACCATTTTATATCATTTCTCTAATTTGTTTATACAAATTTTAATTAATATGCATAGCTATATACGTATTTAAATAATATTTAATATAATTAATGCATAATAGTATAATTAATATATGTTTTAATTAATAAGTAGACCTAATTAATTTGCTGTACAGAGTTCTTTAACATACCAAACTTGTAGTACAGTGAGAGGTTAGGGTTAACTTGTCTAAAACTAATGCCAACAAGTTGGACTCCTGGAGTGGGAACTGACCTTCTGCAAATCTCCCTGCAAATTTGCTATGGATGAGTGCTTAGGTTATCAGTCCTAGTGGTTGGCTGAGATAGACAGGTTCATCATTTGTCAGAGTGGTAAAAGCCAGGCTTAATCCCTAGCCCATTCACACTATGGGGATGGGGGGCTGTCTCCTCCTCCACTAAAGACACTGAAAAGATGAATTATTTCTGGATCACATAATGGTTGAATTTTTAGAATATTATCAACCATATACAGGGTCTTTGCTTCCCTCATCATAAAATTCTAAACCCTGTTTTATATTTCCTATTTTCTAGAATCCAGTCTTCAATACTGCTAGATCTTGGTCCACTATCCCAGAAAATGAGAAACAACAAGATAAACAGGTACCTGCTCTTCCTTCCATAAATTGCCCATACACACACACACCCACACACACACACAAAATGCTACTCTAAGATTAATATTATAATTAGTTCTTATTTGCTCAATCTCCAGTTATCTCAAGAAGATAATTTTGTGATTGTCATGAAGTCTTGGGTAAAAGAAGTCACACAGGTGATCCTAGTATTTGATCTATATCTACATCTACATTGATATCCATATGTGTCATAGCATATACCTCTTATATGTTTATCAATGTAAGCATATGTCTTCTTATAAGTCTCTACATCAATTTCCATACCATCTTTATTCGCGTGAGAATACAGACCCTACTTAGTGAATTACATGAGTCTTACCATGCAATATTGTTAACCCACCATTTCACACAATGTCCCTTATAGAGGTTTTTGCAAAAATAATTTCTAACTTGAGGTGGTGCATATTATACTGTGAGTTGATTCCCTTTACTCTTATGTGCAATACACAAGTCCTGGGTCTTTTGGTCAGTGCATTAAAGCACTCTTTGTTTTTAACTCAAAATGTTACATTCAAATTATCTCTCACAGAAAAAAGTAGTATTGAAAATTGTAAAATGTCCATCAGAGCCTTAGTAAACTTCTTAGTAAACTTCTTATTTCATTGGTGTGTCATTATAAACATATATTATCTTTTTTAGATATAAAAGTTATATCCAATTATCTTCCTTTGACCAGAATTGATAGGAATGGATAAAGGGATTCTGTGCATCTCAAAAATATATATATATATATACGTAGATGAGGAAGTCAGGCCAAGGTCAAAAATTCATAAAGAGAGAAAGTGGACAAAATCTAGTGAATTGTCACAGGGAGTTGAGGGAGTTATTTTTTAAAAGACACAAGAAATAAGAGTAATGCTTTTTCAACTTGTTCATATACTCTGCCTTGTAACAACTCCTGTCATCTCACTTTTTTGCTTGGCCTTCTTTAATTTTGAATCTTTACTGAACTTAGAGCAAACATGAGCCATATGTCAATAATGCTGTATGTTTTAGATTGGATAGAAGGAGCTCTGATTATTGTATAATGTTATTAGCAACATTGTATATTTGTGCTGTACTTCAGCCTTTCTAAAACTTTAATTTTGATTATTGTATTATCATCATCTTCAAGAAATACATTGACTATGAATTTTTACCCCCTTTTAAAGATATTAAACACTAGCTTTAGCAATGATAAAAGGCAGACAACATATTGTGTCTTATTTTTCCAGTCCTTAAACAGTTATAATGCATCCAGGCTTTGAATGACTTTTGTGTCTAGATGATAATTTACAGTTCAGAGGTCAAATGTTATTTTACAAGAATAAATGAGGTGTATGTTGCTGTGAAATAACATGAATTTATTGAAAATATATTTATTTCACAAATTACAAGTTTTATAGCGTTCCATTTGGTTAAGAGAACTATTAAATCTAGGACTATAGAAATGTGTTTTAATGGGACACTTTATTCTAATGTTTTGGCTGTTTCTATTTGCTTACAAATGGCATTTCTGAAATGATAGATTAAGATTTTTTACATCTTTTGAAAATAGAAACATGATTAAAACCTCTACTCTGGCCATGAGACTTTATTATTTTCATATATGTGTGTATATGGATGGATATATACACATATATCTATGCACACATTTTTTAATTGTATATGACAAATATACTGGGTAAGAAATTTAGCTATTCATGTGCTCATGCACTTTTTCTGCCTGCTATTTTACCACTTCTGGAAATCATGTAATATATTAAAGTAAAACACAATTGTGTCCTGTCCTAAGAACTTTTCTTCTCTGCTAACTTACTTTTAGATAATTATTTATGACTTCTGATTGCTTCAGCTATAAGTTCTGTTTTTCAGAAGACACTTTTGATTCTTGTTTTGTCTCTCAAAGGGGCATGCAATCAGGAGGTGTAAAATGAAGCTACATCGTTCTGTACTTTGTTGATAAGGAGCTCTAAAGGACTTCTACTAAGCTTCATAAAATTGAAACATTAGTTTAGTTAAACAGAACAAACAACTTTTAACTGCCACATGGTGACAATTCATTTTTTAAAAAGGAAAGACATAGCTATTTCAATACCTTTTTTTAAAAAAATAGACAAAAACTACGGGCAAATTTTGAAACCTGTAAAGGTATGATGGCCCAGCAATTATTGTGAAGATTTTAAAGCTATTGACACTTTTCCCGAAATGGATATTGGATAACAAATAGAGTCTTCAAGTAGCATATTCTTTAATGTATTTTCGTTTTCTTCTTCACTGAGAATTAACAAAGTACTTTGATGTATGTCCTCAAGGCTTCTTGATTGTAATAGGAGAATAAATATTTTGAAGAGTGAGAAAAACAACTAAAAATTTCTGATTTCTCATACACTAAAAAAAAAGTTTTTTAAAATGACAGCAAATTTTAAAATCATTTTCATATTTAAAATTGCCAGTATCCTATTACATGACCTGAATAAATGCATCTAGAGATATTTAATTATATGCTTTGAACTTTTCTTTCTACTGGAGCTTTTATTCCTTACTTGTGCATGCAAAAACAAAAACAAAAACAAAAATCTGTCCGGCATGGCACTCAGGCTCATTTAGGTATGCTGTTTTATGTAGCTGGAAAACACTTTCTGCAATGTAGCTGAACTCAGAGAATAGAAAAAAAAATCTTTGTACCATAATGAAATGAAATTGTATTTAAAAGCCTAAAAGAGAAAAATGAAGATTTTAATCAATAGTCAATATATATGTCTTTGATGTATGTTTACCATCATTCTATAAGTATTGTCCCCAGTTTTGGCTTAAAATAAGGCAAATACAAGGGTCATTTAAGGCATGGGAGTTATTACTTCCAGGTGTGATTTGCGTATTATGGCATCTTAAAGATAAAATCTACAAATAATACTGATCAGAACTACAGATCCCTTGACAAATCTTTAAATAGCCTCGATTATTATAGTTGAAGAATTCAATTTTCAGGGGGCTTATAAAAATAATGATTGACTGTGAATTGGGAATATAATTTAGTCTGCTTGCCTTTTATACAAAACTGGGTTTCAAAAGCCAAAATAATTATGCTGCCTCCTTCCAAATTTTAGGCAAAATGACGTGAGAAGTGGGAAACTGGGAGAAAAGTTGCATTGGCAGTGGACGTTAGGGCTCTGGCGAGAGTATTCCACTTTCAGAAATTCCGGAAAACTTCTACCATGTATAAGATTGTGTAGCTTCCAAGTTCCAAAATATTTGTTACAAATAGTCTCTCCAAAGAATGAAGTAGCTTTGTCAAAAGTAATTACAAATTACTTTTAATGAAATCGTAAATAAGAAGAAATTACAAATACATCAGACATTTATTTTGCCTATATGTATTTTTTACCTATGCACAAGAGTTATGTGTAATACAAATCTAAGTAAGACTAAAAGATCCCCTTAAGTACTTTCAGAATAAAAGTTTCAAATAATAAGAAAAAGTATGTCATGATTTAATTGGCATAAACTCCTCCTCATTCATTCTCCTTTTTAATTTAATTTAATTTATTTTATTTTACTTTAGATTCTGGGATAAATGTGCAGAATGTGCAGGTTTGTCACATAGATATACATGTGCCATGGTGGTTTGCTGCACTTATCAATCTGTCATCTAGGTTTTAAGCCCCACATGCATTAGGTATTTGTCCTAATGCTCTCCATTCCCTTTCCCCCTACCCTGCAACACGCCTCAGTGTGTGATGTTCCCCTCCCTGTGTCCATGTGTTCTCATTGTTCAACTCCCACTTATGAGTGAGTCATTCTCCTTTTTAATTCTAAATCACATACAGATTTGTTTCATAAATCTGTAATGCCACAACTTAAAATCAGTGCTATGTAATATTCATAAAATGTAGACATTTCTCCCAAAGTCACAGAGCACAGCATGAGGAGTTAGAATTTGAACTCAGGCTGTTTGAAGGAAGAGACCTTAACAATAATATTTATACTAGCTCTTGTTTTGAAATGAAATGATAAAAATTAAATTCAGAGACATTTTGAAAACTTTCTTATTTAATACTCTTATTTTATGTATAACAAAGTAACTTTTTTATTATTACTTTTCATAATGTAGAGCACTAACAAAAAGAGCATCCACTATGTGAGCCAGTCCTGAATGAAATAATACATATATGAAAGCTGACACTCTTGGGTTAAACATGGAATAATAATGGGGGCAGCTCTCAGAAAATAGGAGATACAGTGGCAGCAGAATTAATGCAAAAAAGAATGTCAGGAAATAAGGAAACACACAAAACTACATATGTGAGAAACCAGTTACAACTACAGTAGTCCCATAAAATCAGCTGTATTTTTTTAACATTAAGAAATCCTTTTAGTTACTTCCCATTACATTACTAGATACCTGAGGAAAACCCAGAATATAAAGGTAAGGTGATCAGGTAATTATCTTTAGAATCATAGTAAGAAACAGAACTTAATTTTATGTGAGACAAGATAATAAGACAAATCCTGACAATGGACTGATGAAATAATGATATTGAGACTACAGTGCTATCAGCAATGGGGGAAATAGCTTCCAACTACCACTTCTCCCCCTGACCACATTGATCCAACTTAGCCTCCATTTTACCTCTAAGATGCCATGAGCCATTGGGCAAGATATACATTTATTTAACAAATGATTGTATAGCTTAAAAGTTATAAACTTTAGCATACAAAACAAGTGAAAATATCGCTTCCAATTATCTCAGTTCCTAAATGAGAAATCCAGGCTAACGACATGCAGAGAAGGATTATCTTTGAAGTGTATCTATACCATACATTTTCCCAAAACAAAAATCAATATTGTTCAAAATCTGGGAGGTGTCACACAGAAGTGGGATAGCTTCTAACAGTTACTAGGAATTGCCAGGAAGTTCCTTATTACAAAAGTGTACTTTTGATGTTAGTCGCATGTTGCCACCTAAAGAAATTTTCTTAAAGAAGAAAATACTCTATGTTTTAGCATTTGCATGGC